CCAACCCCCGCCAGCTGCCTCCGCTCCCCTCCGGCCCGCCCCTCCTCCCCAGCCACCTGCTGTCTCTGCCCAGGAGAAGGTAGTGGGTGACAGGAGGGAGGAGCCGCCTGACCTTATCCCTTCAACCGCGAAGGGCGAGGGACCCCGGTCGGCCAGGAAGCCCCCTGCATCCCCGCTCCCCTCCTGTGATCTCTCTCTGTCCTTCACCCCCATTTCTCCGTCCTTCATATCTTCCTTCTTCCCTCCCTCTCTGACTCTCCGTCTCTTTCCTCCTGAGCCCACTAGTCGGGAGTGGGGGTGTAGGGGGGTGGGGTGTGGTGGGAAGGGATCCTAAGGCCTTAGGGGGGATAGTAGGGGGCCTCCCAACCATTCCCTACACCTCCCTCTGGCTGCCCATTGCCATGGCAACTAGGGTGTACTGGGCTGGGTGGGATACAAATGTGGGGGGATGGACCTTTTGGAGGAAAGCAAGGGGTCTAAGGTTCTTCCGCAGGAATTAGGCAGTGGCACAGCTGCACCCCACTTTTACCCCATTTGCCCCAGAGCCTTTATGCGGGTCCTTACAGCCTCTACTCCATTCGGTGTCTCACCTGATTCCCTCTCAGCCCCCTCCTAGGACTCACTGAACTGTGTCACTAAGATCAGACAGCCAGGTCTCTCCTTGCTCCCTGAGCAAAGGGAAACTGAGATTCTGGGCCAGGAGAGGAGGTTCAAGGTCTAGTGAGGACAGGCACCTTATTGAATGTCGGGCTTTTCTTCCCAGGCTCTCTGTCTCCCTGCTCCCTACCTCCATCATCCCCCACCCTCCCAGCCCCCTCCCTCCAAGATCTCTCCAGGGCTTCTGAGCTTTTTCTTCTATTTTCAGATACTACCACTTTGCCCCCTCTTTCTCTTCTGCTCAAACTCTCCTCCTTCTCTTTGGTTCCCCCTCTTTCCATTTCTGGATGCTTCTGATGTCAGTGGTTTCCCCCGCCTTCACGTTCCCGAGGCCCCCCCCTCTCTGATTTTCCCCTTCCTTGGGTAGTTGGAGAAGGGAATTCAGGCTCAGAGAAGTGAGCTGAGCTACAACAAGATTGCTGGGTCTGGGGCGCCTGCTTTACTGTGAGCCCCCAAGAAGAAACACATCACCCGTCTCCCATCAGCAACTCTGAAGAGAGATTTGGGAACATGAAGACTGGGGTGGATGAGTCTGAACAGGGGCTGTTATAAGAAGGAATCTGGGAATTCCGGAGGGGTCAGAGGAGAAAGGGCTGAAAAGATGGGAGACAGGGAGCTAAGGCTACCTTTTTTCCTGGTAGTCTGGAAACATGAGAGAACATCTGTGTGGGTAAGTGACCACCTGAATTGAGGCAGGAGAATGCTTTGAATGACTCCAGTGACCCTTGGCACTCGATCATCTGTATGGTTTGAAGGGCAAGGGAGCACAAACAGTGAGGGTACAGCAAAGTCCTGACTCCCCCCACCCCATCTCATATTCCTTTACAGCTTGTCCAGGTGACTGAGCCCCACACCCAAACCTCTTGGGGCATCCAGAAGATTCCCTGACTGGTCAGAATCAGAGGGAAAAGACCTGCAAGTCCCAGCATGGGAATCAGAGCTTCCCAGCCAGCCTCTTAGCTGGGAAAGCAGCCAGCTTGCCTCCCCCATCAATTACAGAGATAATTAAGAAAGGGCCCCACCCAACATGGAGACTGAGGACCACCTCTGCTGATTCTCTGCCTTCTCCCCTGCCCTGCCCACCTAGCCTTAGCTGGGTCAGTCATGCCATGCTGAACAGTAGTGGGGACCTGGAGTCAGCTTGTCTGACTACAGGGCAAGGATTGTGGGCATCATGAGGGTGTGTGTGAGTGGGGCTCCTGGGTGAGACCTAGCCCCCGCCCCCAGGAGTTCAAGGGGGTGGGGGGATCTGAGGATAGGATGGCTCGGGGCGGGGTGGGGGCAGAGGAAGCCTCCCTACGCTCAAACGCGTTGTCCTGGCTGGCCTGTGGGCTCCTGGCCCTGCTGGCCAATGCCTGGATCATCCTCAGCATCTCAGCCAAACAGCAGAAGCACAAGCCACTGGAGTTGCTGCTCTGCTTCCTAGCGGGCACACATATACTCATGGCAGCTGTGCCCCTCACCACCTTTGCTGTGGTGCAGCTGAGACGCCAGGCTTCATCCGACTATGACTGGAATGAGAGCATCTGCAAAGTCTTTGTGTCCACCTACTATACACTGGCCCTGGCCACCTGCTTCACGGTTGCCTCGCTCTCCTACCACCGCATGTGGATGGTGCGTTGGCCTGTCAACTACCGCCTCAGCAACGCTAAGAAGCAGGCGCTCCATGCCGTCATGGGTATCTGGATGGTCAGCTTCATCCTTTCCACACTGCCGTCCATTGGCTGGCACAACAACGGGGAGCGCTACTATGCCCGAGGCTGCCAGTTCATAGTCTCCAAGATTGGCCTTGGCTTTGGTGTCTGCTTCAGCCTCTTGTTACTTGGGGGCATTGTCATGGGGTTGGTCTGTGTGGCTATCACCTTCTACCAGACATTGTGGGCCCGGCCCCGGAGGGCTCGGCAGGCCCGGAGAGCAGGGGGCAGTGGAGGAACCAAAGCAGGTGGGTTGGGGGGCTTGGGTACCCGGCCAGCTTTTGAGGTGCCAGCCATTGTAGTGGAGGATACTCGAGGGAAGCGGCGGTCGTCACTGGATGGTTCTGAGTCTGCCAAGACATCCCTGCAGGTCACCAACTTGGTCAGCGCCATCGTCTTTCTCTATGACTCACTCACAGGAGTGCCCATCTTGGTGAGATTGGGGTCCTCCACCTGTTCTTAATATCCAGGTCCCAGGATCAACAGCATCTGCCATCCAATTCCATCAGTCATACAGCAGCTTTTTTCATCGTGTTTCCTTCAGTTGCATCATCCACCTTCCTCCCCCATGTCTGTCCCCTGACATTTGTGAGTCCCTGTCTCCATCATCCATCTTCTAGCTCCCACTACCCAACCCCCCGGCTCCATCATCCATTCTTCAGTTTCCACCATTCAACTCTGTCATCCATCCTTCAGATCCACTTCCTACCCTCTAGCTCCATCCTCCATCCTTCCCCTGCACTGTTCAACCTGTCACCCAGCAGCTGCCCAGAGTCATTCTTCATTCCCTAATTCCCTCTGGAGATTACAGTCTCTGAGCATCCCTGAGTGGAAATCTCAGGGCTCATCCCACCACCCTGTCTAGACCTTATTCCTGGGTTTCTCTATCTTCACATTTCCTGCAGTCCCTCCCTTCCTCCCTCTGTCCCAACTTCAGGGCACTTTCTGATCTTCCTCAGTCCCTTCTCTGTTCACCCCACCTTTATCTCTTGCCCACTCACTGCATTAGGGATGGATGTCAGGCTCATAAGGGGGGGGGGCTGGGCTCTCAACCCTGACCCTACTATTCCTTATCCCCTGCCAGGTGGTGAGCTTCTTCTCCCTGAAGTCTGACTCAGCTCCACCATGGATGGTGCTGGCTGTGCTATGGTGCTCCATGGCACAAACGCTGCTGTTGCCCTCCTTCATCTGGTCCTGTGAGCGCTACCGTGCGGACGTGCGCACAGTGTGGGAGCAGTGTGTGGCTATCATGTCGGAGGACGAAGGCGAAGATGGTCAGAGGAGGGACTGGGCCTTTTCTTTCCTGGACAGCTAGCTATCCCTTCTCTGTTCTGCCCTTTCATCAGCCCCCTTTCTCCTTGAGGAGATGGGCTGCCCTGGAGTGCCCCCTGCTGGACTGAGCTGGAGCTACCTCCAGGCTCCCCATAGCCTGATCATGCACTCAGCTATCCAGGCCCTGCTTCCTTCGGCACTGAGGACTCCCTTTCCTTGGCCTCTGCTCCTCTCTAGAAGCCTACATTGTCCATCTTGACCCATGCCAAACAGAGTGCCAGAGAGAGCCCCCAGTCCTAATGCAGAAGGCGGCTGTGGCATGAAGGGGAAGCTAAGCTTCCTAGGAGAGATTCCCTGCTGTTGGGACAATTCTTAGAGAAGGGCAGGTAATTTTGATAAATAGGTGTCTGTGTATGAAGGACCAGGGATTCAGTGAATGCAGCAATGCTAACCATTCCCTTGAACCACTTGGAACTTGGAGACTAATGGAGACCAAAGGGTTCTCCTGGACCTTAGGAAGGGGATGAGGAAAGGATGAGTGTTCTCTGCCTGTAACCGCTCTGTTCCCTTTCTCTTCTAGATGGGGCCTGTGATGACTATACAGACAGCCGGGTGTGTAAAATTCGTTTTGATGCTAATGGGGCCACAGGACCAGGGGCTCGGGACCCCACCCAGGTGAAGTTGCTGCCCGGACGGCACATGCTCTTTCCTCCCCTTGAGAGAGTACACTACTTACAGGTATGGGACTGGATGATCCACCCAACTCTGGTCCCCTGCACCGCTACCCCATAGCCTTGGCCTACAGGGTACCCTAAGGGGCAGGTGAAGGAAAGGCCTGGGAAGAAAGGCTTCCTCAGATCTCTCAGAACCAGGTTTGCCTACTGGAGTAAATGTTTGGGAGAAATTGAAGAGCGTGAAGCCATCTTGCAGAGGCCCCACTTCGGTTTCTGCCTCCTCTACCTTTGTCTCTGCAGCACCTCCAGGTCTCCCCTGCTCCTCTTCCCAGGTCCCTTTGTCCCGTCGATTGTCCCATGATGAGACCAACATCTTTTCTACTCCTCGGGCACCAGGCTCCTTCCTGCACAAGTGGTCATCCTCTGATGACATCCGGGTCCTCCCAGCCCAGAGTCGGGCCCTTGGGGGCCCTCCTGAGTATCTGGGACAAAGACACAGGCTGGAGGACGAGGAGGATGAGGAAGAGGCTGAAGGAGGGGGACTGGCCAGCCTTCGCCAGTTCCTAGAAAGTGGGGTTCTGGGGTCAGGCGGGGGACCCCCACGAGGTCCTGGTTTCTTCCGGGAGGAGATCACCACCTTCATTGATGAGACACCTCTTCCTTCTCCGACTGCCTCACCAGGACCCTCTCCTCGTAGGCCCAGGCCACTGGGTCTCTCACCTCGTCGACTCTCCCTTGGGTCTCCTGAGAGCAGAGCTGTTGGACTTCCTTTGGGGCTAAGTGCAGGGAGACGCTGTTCCCTGACAGGGAGTGAGGGGAGTGCAAGGGCTTGGGGAAGACCTTGGGGCCCAAGCAACCCCATCTTCCCCCAGCTGACCCTGTGAACCTACATGGGCCTGGTGGATTCAGAGGAGGGGGCATGGGTGAGTACACTTCATTCTGGCCCTGAGCCTACGGCAGCTGCCTTCAGACTCCAGGAAGATGGGCGCTAGATCTGGGCTGTGGAGCCCTTGCTCTCTCCCATCCAAGTGACCAGACACTTTACTCATCTTCCATCACCCCTTGCAAAATGTATTAAAGGTTGAAGTGTTGCCATGGAAACCTTGGTGCCCAGTGTCTGTGGCGTCAAAGGGCAGAAGCTTGGGGATGGGAGAATGGCTCATAAAAAACAAACTGGAGGGGCTGGAGAGATGGCTCAGCGGTTAAGAGCACTGACTGATCTTGCAGAGGACCCGGGTTCGATTCCCAGCACCCACATGGCCTCTGTGAACCATCCTTAACTTCAGTTCCAGGGGAAACTGAAGCCCTCTTCTAACCTCCGAAGCACTGCACGACATGGGTACACTCACATGTGTGCATTCACATGCAGGCAATACACTCATACACATAAATTTAAAAAGAAAAAGAAAAAACTGGAGAAGGGGCAGTAGAAAGAGGTACAGAAAGAGACATAGAGACATCACAGACCAACATGCAGACAGAGAAGAGACAGGCTTATGAGTCAGCATATGGCTCATGGAGAAACACTCTTTGTTCAGATTCCTAAAGGTTTTAGAGCATAGTTCTATTCCCAATGCTCAATTCCCCCAAATGCTGCGTCCAGGTGGTCACTTCCTGGGTAGTAAAAGGTTAGGACCAGAATTGGTGTCCCAGGCCTGGAGTTACCCTTCATAGTGCATTGCCAAGTTCTTTCTCCAAAACGGTGGGTTAACAGATGACCTTGAGTAGGTGAGTGTGGGAGGGGTCCACACTCCTTTTCCAGGACCCAAGGATGGAAGGGAACCAAGTCCCAGTTACCCCACACCACAGTCCACAGGGGCTGGTGCCACCAGTCCTCCATGGAGGCTCCAGGCTCTAGTGCTCCCCATTTTACCTTCTTTTCTCCATTTTCCCTTTCTTGCCTAGACTAGACACACTGGAATTCTGCTTCAGTCTCTCCCTCTGACTCCTCTCTTGTTCTTCTACTTTGGTTTCCCCTGCGGTAGGGCCCATGTCCAGTAGGTTTCTTTTCCTTCACTCATTCCCTCTCTCTTCCTCTCCCTCCTCCTCCACCCCCCCGTCATCCCCCCTCCCCCGCTTTCCTCTCCCTCCCTCCTGGCTCCCCCAGTTCCCTTCGGCAGCGGGGCTCTGGCACTATGTTCCGGCTCCTCCGGTTGCTGCTGCTGCTGCTGCTGCCTCCCCCGGGGTCCCCCGAGCCCTCCGAGCCCCCGGGCCTGGCCCCGCGGTCTCCGGGGGCGCCTCCCCAAGCCCCCGACTTGCTCTACGCCGACGGGCTGCGCGCCTACGCGGCCGGGGCTTGGGCGCCCGCGGTGGCGCTGCTGCGGGAGGCGCTGCGGAGCTACGCGGCGCTGGGCCGCGTGCGGCGGGACTGCGGGGCGAGCTGTGCGGCCGAGCCCGACGCCGCGCTCCCCGCCCAGCTCCTCGGAGCCCCGCAGCCCGACTCTGGGCCTCGGGCCTGGGAGCCATTGCTCCTCCGCGCCGCGCTGCGCCGCGCCGAGTGCCTGACCCACTGCGCCGAGCGGAGGTTGGGCCCCGGGGGTGCGGCGCGGCTGCGCGTAGGGAACGCGCTCCGGGATGCCTTCCGCCGAAGGGAGCCTTACAACTACCTGCAGAGGGCCTATTACCAGGTGCGGGAGCCTGCGGGGGCCAACCTCAAGCAAAGAGGCTGCTGTACTTGGAGCTGACCAGGAGAGGGCGGGATTCGGGGTGGGGCCGTGGGGGCTTCTAAGGGACCTCTACGCACTTAAGTAGGTCCCATCGAAACGGTGGCACAGACCCGTGGAGGTCGCAGAGAGACAGCCAAAAGAGAGTGGGAGTCAAGCTGGAATGAAGGGGAGTGGGAGTGGATGGAGCAGGGAGGGCAGGGGTCCTCAGTTTTGTTTCAGTAGGGTCTCATTGAGACCTTCGTGGGGTGAACAACAGCCTCTTCCTGGGTACCAAAAGCAGAACGGGAGGGGGCAAAACCAGCCAAAGGACAGGACGTATGTATGTATGTATGTATGTATGTGTGTGTGTATGTGTGTGTTCAGGGCTGGGCGTTTGAGTGTGAGCCTTTGGGCAGAAGGGAGCTTCGGAAAGGCCGAAGGAGGGATGCAAAGCTTGGGAGGAGAGGCAAGGCTGGAGGCTGGAATCTGGGTCGGTGTCAGTGGACTGTGCCCAGCTACTGGGACGTAGCTTTTGCCCACGTGGCTTGGGGGCGGGAGGGGTTCCACACACCTCAGCTCAGGGTCCTAGAGACCTGCAGATTCTGCTAGCCGCTTAAGTCTCTCCCTACTACCCCATCTACTTCAGGCATTCATGTCCTTGTCTCGCACCGAGGCCCTGAGGCCCTCAGACCATGGCCCAAAGTTTTCAGATCTCCTTTCCTTAAGTACTAGGGTCCTGAGAATCCCAGCAATCTGGTTTCCAGGGGTTCTGCCGGTTGGGAGATAGAACAGCCCTGAATTGCCCTAAGGCTCTAGGGCAAATCCAGACTGTCTAGAGTCGAAGAGGGGTGGGGCAGGAATAGGGGGCAACGGGACACTGGACTGGTGAAGAGACAGAGATCTGCAGTCTATCTCTCCACCTTGGGGCTCTGATATTCTTATGCCTCTGGCTCCTCAGTTGAAGAAGCTGGATCAGGCAGCAGCTGCAGCACACACCTTCTTTGTAGCAAACCCAACACACCTGCAGATGCGGGAAGACATGGCTAAGTACAGAAGAATGTCTAGGGTGCGACCACAGAGCTTCCGGGACCTGGAGACGCCCCTATATTGGGTGAGCCCTTCAGTGCTGGCTGGATGCAGTCAACTCTGGCCCTGTGCAGTTTAAGCATCAGCTCTGGATACCGTTCCTCTGTGGCCCTGGATAGAGTCCCTTCCCTGATCCTTACCTTCCTCTGTTGTCACTGAACTGTGATGTTCTAACATTCGAATTCTGAGGCCTTATCTGTTCTTTCTCAAGGTGCAGGAGGACAGAGATTTCAAGCTTCAAATGAGCCCCTCACTCTTCCACCTCCCAGTCTTGTTTGGTACCCTACCATCACCAATCTTAGATGATTGAGTGCTCCCCTCCCCCACAGGTAGCCTATGACACTGGTCTGGAGCTACTGGGACATCAGCAGGCAGGGTTGGCACTGCCCAGGCTAGAGGAGGCCCTCCAGGGAAGCCTGGCCCAGATGGAACACTGCCGTGCTGACTGTGAGGGGTCTGAGGAACAGCAGGGGGCTGAAGAGGAGGAGGAGGAAGGGAGCCAGGGGGGCCTGTATGAGGCCATTGCAGGTAAGGGGCTGGGAGTATGTGCTGTAGGAGGAGATTGGTGCCAGGGGAGAAGCATGCACAGCCCATGGCTCGGGCGTATTTTCTGCAGGACACTGGATCCGGGTTCTGCAGTGCCGGCAGCGCTGTGTGACTGACATAGCTACCCGTCCTGGTCGCAGTTTCCCTGTCCCTGACTTCCTACCTGACCAGCTAAGACGGTTGCACGAGGCCTGTGCTCAGGGTCAGCTGGGGAAGAATGAACCCTGGGAGTGAAGATTTGTCTCTACTGGCATCCTGAGCCTCATCTTCCTATCTTTACCATCCATCTCTACATAGATAGTTTCACTGTCAGGGCCTTTAGGGATCATCACTTCTGGACGGTGCCCTTTGGTACCGTTGTGAAAAGCTCAGATGGGTCTCCTGGCTCCTTCAGCCTTTGCTGCTTCTCACCTTCCTTTGTTACCTCTTCTCTTCCTCTATTTAAGCTCTACCAGCAAAGGTATGTTTGAGTGAGGTTTTTTAAAAAATATTTTATTTTTTATGTGTATGAGTGTATTGCCTGCATGTATGTAAGTGCACCTGTGTAATGCAATGCCTATGGAAGTCAGAAGTGGGTGTTGGATCCTTTGGAACTTAGTTGTTAGTTGCCATGTGGGTGCTGGGAACCGAACCCAGGTCCTCTGCAAGAACAGCCAGTGCTATTACCCACTGAGCCACATCTCTAGCCCCATTGAGTGAGCTTTTGAAAGAAGTTCAGGATGGGCACATCTCCCAGACAGGGTAGAGGCTAGGAGGGGTTCTTAAAGTTGGTGATCTTGGGAGACGAACTTCAGCTTTCTTTGTCCTCTGCCTTCTTTGTTTCTGCCCCCATCCCACCTTCCTCCATCTCCAGTTGGGAATCTGTCACAGGCCATGGAAAATGTCCTGAGTGTCCTGCTCTTCTACCCAGAGGATGAAGCTGCCAAAAAGGCTCTGAACCGGTACCAAGCCCAGTTTGGAGAGCCAAGACCCAACCTAGGACCAAGAGAGGTAACCCTTCCCTCATTAGTAGGTAGGCCTGGATCAAACATTTATACTTGAGAAGTGGTCTGGATTCCACCTTCCATTCTGGCTTCTTACCCAAGCTCTCTAGCCACCAAAGGGATGCCCAAGTCCAGCATCTGATTTCTGACTTAGCTCCCTGCCCCCATATATCTGACATGTGTGCATGGGAGACCACCCACCCCCTGCCAGCCCCATTCTCTTCCCTTAATCTCATGTCTGCCTGCTGTGTACACACACACACACACACATGCACACAGCGCACAGGCACTTTCACATTCCTCCCTTCCTTTGAGCTCAGATACTCTGAACATTGAGCCATCGAAGCAACAGATTTGGATTTGGTGATGAATTTTAGGAGCTTAGATGTATCCCATAGACTCCGGAGCTGCCTTACTCTCTCCAACCTTCCTTTCCCTTCTCCTTGTCTCTACTTTCTCTGTTTCTGTCACGCTCAGGACATCCAACACTTCATCCTTCTATCCCTGGGGGAGAAGAGGCAGCTCTATTATGCCATGGAACACCTGGGCACCAGCTTCAAGGACCCAGTAAGTAGTTGTGGTCCAGAGGGAAGAGCAGTAATGCTGGATATTCATAAATCACTGCAGTCTTCAAGAGCGTCCCACTTGCCCATAGACCTGGAGGCTTAGAAAAGTCTAACATCCCAGTTTCCCAAGGACAGGGTCAATGAGCCTGTAGTTAAAGGTGGCTATGGAATCATGTGTCAACACATCAGTCTCTCTGCCACAAACACCCTCTGGCTGTCGTTTGCCTTTGTCAAGAACTGAAAGCATCATTACTGATGCTTCCATTACCCTATTACCCTTCTTGTAGTTATGAGGACCAAGCACAGTGTCAACGTCATGAGGCTGGTACTTAACATAAAGTAAAAGTTCTCCCTGTAGCCCCAGCTGCTCTGGAACTTGCTTTGTAGACCAGGCTGGCCTCAATTTCACAGAGAGCTAAAAGTATTTTTTTTTAATATATTAGCCAGGTGTGGCAGCATATGCCTTTAATCCTAGCATGCAGGAGGCAGTGGCAAATGGATCTCTGTGAGATCGAGGCCAGCCTGGTTTACCTAACAAGTTCCAGGCCAGCTGGGCCTATGGGAGACCCTGTCTCAAAAAACAAACAAAAAAAATTTTTATAGAGATTTATTTATGTTGGGTTGGAGAAATAGCTCAGTGGCTAATAGCCCTGGCTGCTTTTGCAGAGGACCTGTGTTCAGTTCCCCACACCCACATGGCAGGCTAACAACCATCTGTAACTCCAGTTCCAGGGGAATCTGATACCCTCTTCTGGCTTCTGTGGATATTACATGCTCCAGAGCAATTACATACATGCAAACAATACATTCATACACATAGCATAAAAACAAATTTACAAATTTTAGCTATTTAGTTTTATTATATGTGTAGAAGTGTTTTGCCTACATATATGTCTGTGCACCACATGCATGCAGTACCTACAGAGGCCAGAAGAGGGTGTCAGATTCCCTGGAACTGGAGTTATGGATGATTGTGAACCACCAAGTGGGTGCTGGCAATCCAGGTCCGCTGCAAGAACAGCAAGTACTCTTAACTGCTGAGCCATCTCTCCAGCCCCAAAGCAATAGTCTTCTATTGACTTTTTTTTTGGTCTTTTGAGACAGGGTCTCCCTGTAGCCCTAGGTATCCTGGAACTCACTATGTAGACCAAGCTGGCCTTGAACTCACAGAGATCTGCCTGCCTCTGCCTCCTGAGTGCTGTGATTAAAGGCATGCGCCACCACCCCTGGCTCTATTGACTTTTTAAGGGCTAGGTGATGAGTGCTTGCTTAGCACACATAAAGGCTCAGAGTTCTATCCCCAGCACTGTAAAAAGGAAAAAAAAAAAGGGGGCTGGAGAGATGACTCAGCAGTTAAGAGCAGTGACTGCTCTTACAGAGGACCTGGGTTTGATTCCCAGCACCCACATGACACCCACAACTGTCCATAACTACAATTCCAGGGGAATCCAATACCCTCTCTGAGGCATTGCACAACACAAGTATACTTACATACATGCAGGCAATACACTCATACACATAAAATAAAAATAAATGTGAAAACAGAGAAGAAGAAGGAAAAAGACATTTTGGATCAGATGGTTCTTTGCTGGAGGAGGGAACTGGGATGTTCTGTGCATTGTTGGATAGACGTTCATTAGCTTCCCTGGCCTCTTCTCAGTCGATAGCACATTGACAGCCCAAGTCATGAAATCAATAATGTTTCTAGACATTTGCTTAATGTTCCCTGGAGGGCCAAATCACCCTTGCTGAGAACTGCTGGATAAAAGTGGGGCTGGGCATGGTGGCACAAACCTTTAATCCCAGCACTCAAGAGACAGGCAGATCTCTTTAAGGTGGAGGCCACCTTGGTCTACATAGGGAGTTCCAGGCCAAGTGGTGCTACAGGAAGACCCTGTCTCGGAAAAAAAAAAACCAAACCAAAACAAAACAAAACAAAAAACAGGTCTGTGAAGCTAGTTTTAAACCCTACTTTTAAACCCTACTCTGCCACTTACAAGCTGAGTAGAACTGACCACGTTACTTTCTTTCTATATCTTAGGACCCTCAACTGAAAAATGAGCTCATTACAGCTCTCTGTCCATTAGATATTATGAATGTTAAACCATAACTTTCATTTGCAAGTATAAAGCTCTTAGAACATCACCTGGCAAACAGTAAGTGCTATGAAAGTTATTTATTACAGAGTTTGGTCTAGAGCCCAGGGTATTAGACTAGTGTAGGTGAGTAGCCCAGGCTTTTCCTCCTATGCCTTCCCCTCTGGAAGCAGGAGGACCTTCATGTGGGCCTTCTGATTCTGATATCAGAGCTCCCAGGTACTGGATATGGTGAGTGATGGCACTGTTCTTGACTTACAGGATTCCTGGACCCCAACCGCTTTAATCCCTGAGGCACTGAGAGAGAAGCTCAGGTAGGGCATGCCCTGTGGTGGGGGCCACCTGGGCTCGATTGGGAGGTGAGGGAATGGGTCTAGACTGTCTGCTGAGTATGTCTCTCCCCCCCGAGAGAGGATCAAGAAAAGAGGCCTTGGGATCATGAGCCTCCACAGCCAAAGCCCTTGACCTACTGGAAGGGTAAGTTCCTTGGTAGGATGTGCCGGGGTAGGGAAGAAAGAAAGGCAGGATTGAGGGATGTCAGGAAGCAGAAGCCTGAAGGCCTGGAAACTGTCAGTTACTGCCCCTCAGGTAAGCTTTAGTGAACTTTGCCCTGTCCCTTCCCCTGCAGATGTCCTCCTCTTGGAAGGTGTGACCCTCACCCAGGATGCCCAGCAGCTGAATGGATCGGAGCGAGCTGTATTGGATGGGCTGCTCACCCCAGCCGAGTGTGGGATGCTGCTGCAGCTGGCCAAGGTAGGATGGCCTGCAGTTCAGCCACTTGGTTAGAGACCTTCAGGTTTAGCTGGCTGCTCTTGTGCTCTTAGCCTGAGTCTGTTCTGCCTGTCCTGAATCTCTCCTGAAGTTCATGTTTGCTGCTGTATCTCAGCTGTGGAAAAGTTCACTTTCCTCTTAATTTAGCTGATATAGGGTGGATGTTCTTGTTTGAGACAGGGTCTTGCTATATTGCCCAGGCTACCCTTAAACTCAGGATCACGCTTGGCTAGGGTAGATGTGCTTTACAAAGGATTTTGTTAGAAGTTGACAGGAAGAAAAGAGAAATGTAAGAGCAGGGGCTGGAGAGATGGCTCAGTGGTTAAGAGCACTGGCTGTTCTTGCAGAAGGTCTGAGTTCAAATCCTAGCACCCACATGGTGGCTAACAACCATCCATAACTCCAGTTCCAGGGAATCTGACACCTTCTTCTGTCCTCCTTGGGCATTGCACAATATGGGTGCACATGCATACATGCAAACAATCCATGCATACACATAAGATTAAAAAAAAGATAGGCCCGGCGTGGTGGTGCATGCTTTTAATCCCAGCACTCGAGAGACAGAGGCAGGTAGATCTCTGAGAGATCAAGGCCAACCTGGTCTACCTGGCCAACTGGGGCTACAGGAAGACCCCATCTCAAAAAGACCAAAAGAGCCAGCGTGGTGGCGCACACCTTTAATCCCAGCGCTCGGGAGGCAGAGACAGGCGGATCGTTGTGAGTTCAAGGCCAGCCTGGTCTACATAGTGAATTCAGGTCAGCTGGGACTTCAGGGAGACCCTGTCTCAAAAAAAAACAAAAAACAAAAAACAAACAAAAAAGACCAAAAGATAATAAAATAATAAAATAAAGCAAAAAAATAAAAATACAAGCACATAAAAATGGATGGGAGTGTGTGGAATGATTCTTTGGTTACCTCAGAGTTCAGAGAGCATCCAAGGCTTCTTTTTCCAGCCACTGCATCCTCTCCTAGTTTGGGTTCAATGGCCCATGCTCACATGTGGAGTCTGCCATTTTAAAAAAATTATTTCTTTATTTCAACCCCAGCTGGCCTGGAACTCATTATGTAGACCAAGCTGACCTCAGGTCTCACAGAGCTCTGCCTCCCAAGTACCAAGTACTGGATTAAAGGTATGCACCACCACCTCTGACTGCATCTGCCTATTTATGATACTTAGTCCTCATTCCAGACTTACATTCATTAAATGTGCACTCTGTGGACTAGAGTGCTGTCTGTGAACTAGAACTCCAGGAGGAGGTAGATGGGCACAGACTCTGCCCTTTAGAGTCATATATAATTCTTTGTACATGTATGTAAGTGCCCCCATGTCGTGCAGTGCCCATGCAGGTCAGAAGAAGGTGTCGGATCCCCTGGAACTGGAGTTACAGAGTTGTTAACCACCATGTGGGTGCTGGGAATCAAACCCAGGTCCTCTGCAAGAGCATCCAGTGCTCTTAACTGCTGAGCCATCTCTCCAGCCCCCTTACGTCATTTTTAACCATGTGCTACAGTCCCAGATACTGGGAAGGTAAAGCAGGAGAACTGTTTGAGCTCAGGAGTTTGAGGCCAGCCTGGGTGACCTAAGGAGACTCCATCTCACGGGAGAAAAAGGAGGTGGAGAAGAGAAGACAAAAGGGAAGAAAGAGGAAAGTGCTTTCTGGGAACTGCAATAAAATGCAGGTTCAAAGCATAGACGGGATCCAACAGTTACCTGTGAGACTTCGGACAATTTGTTTAAATGTCTTGGAGTCAATTTCCCCATCTGTAAAGTGGGATTCATCGTAATGCTTCTGTCATCATATTGTTCTGACTAGACCATGGTGAAACCGAAGAGCTTAGGATCCTGTGACCAGTTATCAAGAGGCAGTATAGGGAAGAGGGAGAGAGCCCTGGGTGAAGACCCAGTGGCATCAGCTTCTTGGTAGATGGTGGGCAGCTGCTGCTGGATTTAAGAGGCTTGCTTCCCAGTTTGTGTGGACTATTCAAGCACAGTAATCGTGTAGGCTCAGTAGATCCCTCTAGTGGCAGTCTGTAGAATGCAATGGAGAGACCGTGAGTGAGAGACCGTGAGTGAGTCATTTAGAGTGCCCCTGCCTTAGGTCCTCTATGAATTTAAGGGAATAATGAAAGGGGAACAGAAGAGAGAGTGGTAAGAAATACTTAGGAATGAAAGGTAGACACGTTAGGGACCAAGTCTGTGGAAGATGCTGAGGAGGCAAGGATAACTCCCAAGCATCAGACCTTTCTGTTCTTTATTCTGACTCGGGACCTTTGCATTTGCTTCCCCTTTCAGATATTCAAGTGGCATCTTTGCATTATTTAGTTCCAATTTAGATGTCACTTCCTTAAGTAGCTGTGGATAGACACTCTAAGATTGTAACCCTGTTTTAATTTTCTTTGTATCACTTATTACCATCTGAATTGGTTTATCTATTTATTTGTTATCTCAAAATATAAATCCCAGGGGCTGAGGGTGTAGCTCATTTGGTAGAGTGCTTGCCTAGCATGCATAAAGTCCTGGGTTTGATCCCTAGCACTACATAAACCAGATGTAATGGCACAGACCTTTAACCTGCACGTAGAAGGCTGAGGCAGGAGGATCCAGAATTCAAGTTTGAGGTCATCCTAGGCAAACATCCCAGTAAGCAAACAAACAAATTATATACCTATACATAGGTATGGTGGCCCATGCCTTTAATCCTGGCTCTTGGGAGACAGAAGCAGGCAGAGCTCTGTGATATTGAGGCTAGCCTGGTCTACATAGTGAATTCCAGGCTAGCTGAGACTACAGGGAGACCCTGTCTCAAAAAACAAAACAAAAATCCAAACGAAAACTCTATGTTTGGAATATAGCTTAGTGATGGAGATTGCTTAGCATGGGTAAGCCCCTAGGTTTGATCCCAGTGCTGTACAAAGGGTAAACACAAGAGGAGGAGAAGGAGGAAGAGGAAGGGGAGGAAACTATTTGGTTTGGGTGAAGAGGTGCACTCTCAGGGATGAGATTTGTATGTTGGAGTAGTTAGGTAGTGACACTTATTCTGAGATTCAACAGATAGACAGAAAAAAATGGCTGTCAGCTGGGCATAGTGGCTCATTCCTACAATCCCAGCACTTGGGAAGTTGAGGTAGGAAGAGAGCCACAAATTTGAGGCCAGTCTATGCTACATAATGATTTCTAGGCCAGCCTTAGCTACAGAATGAGACCCCAGGGACTGGAGAGACGGCTTAGTGGTTAAGAGCACTGGTTGCTCTTGCAGAGGACCCAGGTTTGGTTCCCAGCACCCACATGGTGATGAACAATCATCCATAACTCCAGTTCCAGGGAATCCGAGGCCCTCTTCTGACCTCTGAGGGCATTGCACAATACGGGTGCACTTACATACATGCAGGCAATACACTCATACACATAAAATAAAAACAATAAATAGAATTTTTTTTTAAAGAACTGGCTCAAAAGAAAAAAGAAATCCCAGATGTACACATCCAAATACACTTAGACCCACAGGTGATGTGAGTCTTGTGGAGGCCGCTGGGTAACTGAGATCCAGCATTAGAAGCAGTGGTGCTATGGAGCTCATAGGATCTCTAAGAAAACGTCAAGTGGGAGGAGGTCAGTTCTGTCTTACCACCTCAAGTTGGCTTCTTGCCAGAACCTGGCCTGTCCCTCAGATGCAGAAAGACTCCTGTCTCCTCAGGGAAGGGTGCCTTCACTTGTCAACTTGACACATCTGGGAAGAGGGAACCTCAACTGGAGAATTTCCTCTATCAGATTGGCCAGTGGGCATGTCTATGAGGCAGTTTCTTGATTGTTGAGTGATGTAGGAAGGCCTAGCCCACTGTGGGTGTGGTGTCACCCCTGGGCAGGTGGTCCTGGGTTGTGTAAGAAAGCAGGCAGAGCTGGATGTAGTGGTGCACGCCATTAATCCCAGCACTTGGGAGGCAGAGGCAGGCAGGTCTTTGTGAGTTTGAGGCCCATCTGGTCTACATAGTGAGTTCCAGGCCAGCTGGGGCTACCCTGTCTCAAAGAATTGTTTCGCACGGGGCTCCTTTCCCTAGGGAAGGGAAAGATGTCGGCGGAGGGAAAGATGGACGGGAAGGGAAGGGAAGGGAAGGGAAGGGAAGGGAAGGGAAGGGAAGGGAAGAAAACAGGCTGAGCACAGGCCAGAGGAGCAAATCAGTAAGCAGTGTTTGTCCATAGTCTGTATTTCAGTTCCTGCCTCTAGGTTCCTTCCCTGAGCCCCTGCCCTGGCTTCTCTCCATGATGAATCAACTATTAGCTGTAAGGTGAAATAAACCCTTTCTTTCTCAAGTTGGTTTTGGCTAGTGTTTTACAGCAAGAGAAAGTAACTAGAGGTCGGGCATGGTGACACATGCCTTTAATCCTAGGAATCGGGAGGCAGAAGCAGGCAGCTCTGTGAGATTAAGGCCAACCTGGTCTACATAGTAAACTTCAGGCTAATTGGGGCTCCAGGGAGACCCTGTCTCAAAAGTGAAAAAAAAAAGAAAGAAAAAAGGTAACTAGGACACAGACCTTCCCTCAGTCTGACAGTCCAGATGACAAGGATGACTGTCAGTCTCTGGGAGAGAGCCAGAGCCCAGAAAAACGAGTCATGGGACATTATGGAAACTCCCAACATCTTCCAGACATGGAGAAAGCCTGAAGGAGAGCCTGGTAGCTCTGTGGCAGCAAGGTGAGCCAGGAGTGACTCATCATAAACCCCTTCTTATTTAGGATGCAGCTGCAGCTGGAGCCAGGTCTGGCTATCGGGGCCGTCGCTCCCCTCATAGCACCCATGAACACTTTGAGGGGCTCACAGTGCTCAAGGCTGCTCAGGTGAGAGGAGGTGCTGTGGCCTGGTCTGATGCCTAGGACTGGAGAAGAGGGGATGTGTGCAGGAGGCTGGATTCCAGGGCCTAGGCTTCTGTGGGGGCACTCCCTGGGCACCTAGACCACTGCATGGTTGGCCCATGGTTGAGAAACGATGTGTTCTGCCACCTGAAGCCCAGGGTGTTGTCATGGAGCCCCTAAGAGAAGAGTCTGGGCTGCTACACTTCAGGCCCACACAGGAGTGCAGTCTCAGAACCAAGACAGAGGCTGGGGCTAGACCACCTTCTATCACTTCTTTCTTTCCCTGCCTGCAGTTGGCCCGGGCTGGGACTGTGGGCAGGCCAGGTGCTAAGCTGCTTCTGGAGGTGAGTGAGCGAGTACGGACCTTGACCCAGGCCTACTTCTCCCCAGAACGGCCACTGCATCTTTCCTTCACCCACCTGGTGTGCCGAAGTGCCATAGAAGGTAACCCATTGTGCTTGCCCAACCTTGGCAATCCATGTGGGTTTCCATTTTTGCTCCAGAAAGCCTCCTACTGGCCAATGTGGAGGCAGGAAGTTTCTCCTGCTGTTTGCCACCCTAGGAGCTACAAGGGGCCCATGGCAGGGCCCTGATTCATTCGCCAGATCTCTTTATATCCTAGGTGAGCAAGAACAGCGCATGGACCTTAGTCACCCAGTGCACGCAGACAACTGTGTCTTGGACCCTGACACTGGGGAATGCTGGCGGGAGCCCCCAGCCTACACCTATCGAGACTACAGGTAGGGGGCCCTTCCAGGGTCAGAGAGGTGGGAACACAAAAACCATCCTTCTACAGGCCTGGATCTAAGTATGTGGAGGAGGGTCTAACTGCTTTCTGTCTTTTTCCCCCCCAGTGGACTCCTCTACCTCAATGATGATTTCCAGGGGGGTGACCTGTTCTTCACGCAGCCCAACGCCCTCACTGTCACGGTAGGGGGAGGGGCAGAGGACCAGCTGTGGGGTCAGGATTCAAAACAGATTCCCAGAGGCAAATGCAGGGAAATGGCTGGGGCTACATTAACACTGTTCCTCCTGCCTCCCTCTCCCCAGCCCTCCTGGCCACTGGGCTGTCTGTGTTCAGGGCTCCTCTGCAGAGAGGTTCCTTGAGCCCCACAGTAGATCTCTAAGTGCCCCACCCATGCCTTCAAGGTTTGCCTCACCTCCCATAGGGGGCCCAGCATAGCCAGGCGTAGGATACACATTTGAAGCCCCAGCTGTCGAGGAAGATGAGGCTGGAAGAGCACTTGAACCCAGAAGTTCAAGGCCAGCCTGGACACTGAATCAAGACACCTCAAAGAACAAAATATGGGCTTCAAGGTAGTTCAGTGGGTAATGGTGCTGCCAAACCTGAGAACCTGAGCTTAATCTCCAGGACTCAATGGTAGAAGGAGAGCACTGAGTCCCACAAGTTGTTCCCCAGCCTCCACAAGTGTGCTGTACTTTAGCACACCCCCCCAAAATAAATAAAAGTAGTGAAAATTAAAATAAAACAAAAACAAAACAAGGGTTCCTGAAGTATAGCATGCAGGGTCCCTCCAGAGCCAGATGTTCCTATTCTGGGGATCTGAGGAACTTAGCCCTTCCCTCTCACAAGGCCACCAGTGGAGCTGGCAGCACATATACAGGACCACCTGGACTAGAGTTCAGATTTTTATCTTTTTGAGATAGGGTCTCCCTGTCTCAAAGATCTGCCTGCCTCTGCCTCCCAAGTACTGGGATTAAACCACATCCAACTGCCCAGGCTGCTTTTGAACTCAGAACAGTCCTCCTGCCTTGGCCTTCTGAGTGTTGAGATTATAGGCATGCACCAACCTAACTGACTGGCCCCTTCCCTTCCATCCCCTCTTCCGTCCCCTCCTCTCCCTTCTCCTCCCCTTCCCTTCCCATTTTTGGAGACAAGGCCTCTCTATATAGCTCCGGATGGCCTGGAACTTGCTATGTAGACCAATCTGGCCTTGTACTTATAGTAGTTCTTTTGCCTCTGCAACTGGAAACGTGGAATTACAGGTGTGCTCTATCACACTTGGCTATATTTTAAAATTAAAAGTGTGTGTGTGTGTGTATGTTTTGTTGCAAATCAAGCTTCGTGCATGCTGGACAAGTGCTCTACCACTGAGCTACACTCCCAGCCCTACATTAAGAGCTATTACTTAAAAGAACTGTCTGTCTTTGCTTCACATCTGGCTGCTGGAATTCTGGGAGTACAGACATGTGCTACTGCGTCTGGCTTTTATGTAGGTTCTGGGAATCTGAACTCAGATCCTCATGCTTGCACAGCAAGCACTTTACTCAGTAAGCCATCTCCCCAGGACTATAAGAAGTAATTTTCTTTTACAGTTAGTGCATGCGTGCGTGCGTGCGTGCGTGTGTGTGTGTGTGTGTGTGTGTGTGTGCATGGAGTGGGTCTTGGAATCTTGTGCTGCTGTATGTGTGTAGAGATCAGAGGACAACTTGCAGGAGTTGATTTTCTCCTTCTACCACGTGGGTTCTGGGGAGCAATCTCAGGTTGTTGGGCTTGGTGGCAAGCACCTTTACCCTCTGAGCCACCTCTCTGGCCCTAGAAGAATGAACCAGTGCCTTGGGCCTCCAACTCTTATATATATATATAGTCTTTTTTGAGACAGGGTCTCCCTGTAGCCCCAACTATCCTAGAACTCACAAAGATCAGCCTGCCTCTGCCTCCCAAGTGCTGGGATTAAAGGCATGTGCCACCACGCCTGGCTCCAGTGCCTTATATTAATAAACATTTTAGGTGTTGTTATTCACCCATTCCCTGATCATGGAGATTTCTAGGTAAACACCTGGTCCTAAAAATGGGCAAGAGGAGGGATAGGCATGGTGGTGCACATTGGTAACCCCAGCACCAGGAGTCTGGGGTAGGAGCTCCAGGCCATCCTGTGTCACGTAGGGGTATCCTGTCTTACTCTCCAGTCACCTTCCTATGTACAATCTAGGGCTTCGTTAGGGTGGAAATACCTCAAAGGTCCTCATCTTCTTTCACCTAGTCTGCTGCTACTCTCATGCCCCAGATTGCTTCACTTCAGACTCCTGAGGTCAGACAGGAAAGGTCAGGGCACTAACTAGGGCAGGGAACCAACAAGAGACCCTCCAGAAAGCACCTGTTCCTTTGTTTTCCAGCTCAGTTTTGCATTTTCCCTTTTTGAGTTAAGGCCAGTTTCTCATTTGCCCTAAGCCAGCCCCTGAATTAGGGAGTGGGAAGTGATGGGCAGGCAAGAGAGCTGACACTCTGTCCCCCTGCCCTCACCTTCAGGCTCAGGTTCGTCCTCGCTGTGGACGCCTCGTGGCCTTCAGCTCTGGTGGAGAGAATCCCCATGGTGTATGGGCTGTGACACGGGGACGGCGTTGTGCCTTGGCACTGTGGCACACGTGGGCCCCTGAGCACAGGGAGCAGGTAAGGAGGAGCAGGAGCAGGAAGATGTGAAGGGAGGACACTGGAGGCTCACGGGAAGCTCATGGGTGGTGAGATGGGCCAGGGAATGTAGATGCAGAGGATTGAGCCAGACTCTTATCCACCTCCAGGAGTGGACAGAAGCCAAAGAGCTGCTGCAGGAGCCAGAGGAGGAAGAGGAAGAGGAGGAAGCGGAAGAAATGCTTGACAGAGACCCTTCCCCAGAACCCCCCAGCCACAAGCTTCAGCGGGTCCAAGACAAAGCTGGGAAGCCACTCCGGGTCCGAGAGGAGCTATGAGTGGCTCAGCCAGCTTCTTGGTATGGCCACACTTGACTTGTAAAAGGACCCATGAGAAGCCCCCATGTGACGTCAGAAGCAGAGCTGCAAGCTGTGTCTCTTCAGTCTTGGGGATCTACAAGGGCCATGGAGCCCTGGGCTGAGCTCACTACATAGACTCAGCCTAGTGCTCACCAGGCTCCAGAGCCAGATCTGGTCCCAGCTGAGGGACCTGCAGCCAAGGACAGACAGAGATCACTATGCCTCCCTGCAAAGACATGGCAAGAATTGGAGGCTGACTGCTTTCAGTGAGGTGGACACAGGGCGATAACCCCATCTTCTCTCCCAGCCTGTGCAATAAAGATCATGAATATCCTCAGCCAGGGCCTGGTCTGGTGTATTCCAGCTTCTGTGGCTGCCGGTGGGGTTGGCTAGGGCTGGCCTGGGAGGAGACAGGTATCTTTGGGCCTCCTGGAGGTGGAGCCATAAGTGCCTGTGATTTGTCAGGGAAATCTCAGCCACCTGCTCCTTCATGCAAATAGACCCGTGTGCCCCATCACCACACCACAGCTGCTCCTTGGGCCTCCAACTCTAAGCCCTGGCTTCCCTCCCTGAGCATGGCTGAGAGAGGGTAGTCTGATCCCTCTGACTCTTTCACAATCTTAGTAGGACCCCAGGAATCGTGGAACTAGCAGAGAGACAGACCCCAGCCTGGGAGCCAGGGACAGGGTTCCATTCCCTTTCTAGTTCTTTCTCTGCATGAATGCCCAGCTTCCCCCTGGATCCCCTGTACTCTCCTCCAACCAGGATGAAGCCTAGGGGCAGCTGGTTGGGGTTTGTTGAGAAGGATTATCCAGTTCAGTCCCTTCTAATCTGGGCTCCTGCCTGTACCCTCCCACCCAGATTCACAGCCCTCTTCCCCCACAGCCCTCAGTGAGGGAACATAGTTTGGGGTGTTGACAACGGGGTCATCTATCACCCTTATGTCCTGGCTTCTGGCCTGCTTGCTGAGCAGAACTTTACTGCCAAGATCATGATCACAAGTGGGGCCAGGGCCCGGGGGCCACTGGTGCTGGGGCTGCTCCTGTTCTGTTCTACTCCCCAAACCCAACCAATCAATAATCCTCACAGCTTTGCTCTGATCCACGGCCTGATGCTCTTATCTCTTCCTGCACCCTGACCAGGGAAGCACCCCTTTGACCCCTCCCCCTCCTGTGGTTGGCTGTAGGGGGCCTGCTTTTCTCTGACCCACAGGGCCTGCTCCTCCTTCAGGCTGGCTCAAGTCTCTGGAAGCCACACACCTCCCTCCCTGGCCTCTCCCCCGACTCTGCCAGCTGATTTCATTTGCCTGACGTGGTTGTTGGTTGTCGCCTGCCTTACCCTTCCCCGTCAATTCCCCCCTCCCAGTCGGGGCCAGGCCAGGCCAGCTCCTCTGGCAGCAGAGGGGGGCAGGTGACAGGCAGGCATCGCAGCTGAGGGAGTGAGGAAGCGCCTGGGAAGCGGAGCTGGAAACCTGGGAGAGGTCCAGCCAGAGCCCAAGTAAGAGGGAGCTGTGCCCTCTGGGGTTGGGGGCCCACAGGGAGGGCTCAGGCAAGGCTGAGATTGATGCACCGGACCTTGCCTGGGAGAGGGGGAGGAGTACTCACTTCTCAGGAGTAGGGTGGGGTATGAAGGACAGAAACATGGCCTGATGGGGATCCCCCAACACCTACTCCCTGTTCCCGGCAGTTGCCTGAGCTACCCCTCGATCTGTCCACCATGGGGGAGATGGAGCAGCTGAGGCAGGAAGCGGAGCAGCTCAAGAAGCAGATTGCTGTAACCCCAGAACCTTCCCTCCCTGGGGACCCTGGAAAACAGAACTGAGGACCAGAGGGAGTGTGACCTGGGGAAAGGGACTGGTTCCCACTTAAGTGACACCTTACAGACCTCTGACCTACAAGGGTCCAGCGACTTTCTGAATTTGGATCTCACATTTGAGATCACCCCCAACCCAGAGCCCCATGCCCACCCACCTCCAAGGCCCATACACATGCCCCCTTACTCTAACATAGCCTTTCTGATGCCTGCTTCCTCCTCCCTCCCCCTCTCAGGATGCCAGGAAAGCTTGTGCGGACACTACCCTGGCTGAGGTGAGACCTTCTTGTCCCCCTGAGGCAGGACATAAGGGGAGAGGGAGGGGACCAGACAAGTTCCTGACCAGCAACACACTAGTGCCTGAGCTTTAGTACAGCCTGTCTTTGGAGTGAGGAAAGGCATTCATGCATTCATTCAACAAACATCTAATAAGACCTGATCTGGGCCAGGCACTGTATTGGATTCTGAAGGCATTAGACATGGTTCTTGCCTTCCATCTGAAGCAGTGGAGTGGAGGGAGGTAGACGCAGGTTGACAGTTGTCTAAGACCCCATTTCAACAATTCTAAGATGCATATTTCTTCAAATTTAGAGACCTCTGAAATCAAGATGCATCTGACAATACACAATGCCTGTTAGCATTTTTCTTGCTTGGTGATACATAAAATTATAATAGTGGTTCTTAGAATTGATAGTACCAAGTCATGCTAGGTGACACAGACTTGTCATCTGAGCCATATGGAAGGCTGAGGCAGCACTGAGAGTTCAAGACCTTCCTGGGCTACTGAGTTGTATTCAAGGCCAGCCTGGGAAACTTAGTGAACCTATTTCAAAAATAAAACAAACTCTGGGCCAAACGTAGAAAGTCATCAATCTCTCTTGATTCTCTTTAACCCATCTGAAGAGAGAGAGAGAGAGAGAGAGAGAGAGAGAGAGAGAGAGAGAGAACAGGAAGCAGATCTGGGAGGAGTTGGGGTGAATATGATCAAAATACGTTCTGAGTATATGAAATTCTCAAAGAATAAATATTTTTTTAAAAGAAAAGAGGGGCTGATTTCAGTATCTAGTATTTCAGTAGCAGAGCTCTTGGTTAGCATGCATGAAGCCCTAGGTTCAACTCCCAGTACTGAAGAAAAAAAAAAAGAATTGCCAGCACCCTAGATTGGATTGGATATGTTAATAAGAGCAAAATCCTGGGCTAGAGTTGCTTAAATTCATAATTTTATATAATTTCCATGGCAAGTCTATAAGATAACAGGCTCAGAGAAAAGTGTAGTAACTTGCTGAGGGTAACAAAGGCAGCAGGACAGATTGAGTCTGTGGACTCTGGAGGCTGAGCTGCTGAAGGGCTAGTCACTGTTGAAGGGATGCAGGACCACAGGTTTCAATAAGCGCAGTCCAAGATCACAGTGAGGGCCTGGGAACTCATGACTGCTGACTGTACTCTGGTAGTTTGTGAGAATAGACTCCTGCCAGTTGAGGAGAGCCACCTATGTGTAACTCTTTCCAAGTTGATGTTCAGTGATCTCCTAACCAACAGTTGGAAGTTGATCAAGGTGGGAAATTTTTCATAGCAGTTTCTTCCCAATCTGGAGAAACTTTACCAAACCCTTTCCTATAGCATTTAGCAACTTGCCACTAGCTATCCAACCATCTGTTTTCCATAGGAGTCTCAGTCACTCTAGGCCAAGGACCTCTTTCTCTAAGGTTGGGAAACATCCTAGAGTCTGGTCCCCAGCAGGAACTTGTACAGAGCAAGAGCTGTAGCACACACATATCTATTACCCCTTTCTCTGCAGCTGGTGTCTGGCCTAGAAGTAGTGGGACGAGTCCAGATGCGGACACGAAGGACATTAAGGGGGCACCTGGCCAAGATCTATGCCATGCACTGGGCCACTGACTCTAAGTGAGGCTTGAAAGGGGACCTGAAGAGACGGGGAGGCAGGGAGGAGAGGTATGGATGACACAGAGTGCCCTCTCTCCAGGCTGCTGGTAAGTGCTTCACAGGATGGGAAGCTGATCGTGTGGGACACCTACACCACCAACAAGGTACCAGTTCCACTCCCTGACTACCAGCCTCCAGGAAAACCCTCCATCCTTCCTGGCCATGCTATGCCTAGCCCCTCTGTCTTGCACATCTGGGAGTTTTGTGCAGGTCCCATCTGCCCCACGTCTACCCTCTCTGCAGGTGCATGCCATCCCATTGCGTTCCTCCTGGGTCATGACCTGTGCCTACGCACCATCAGGGAACTTTGTGGCATGTGGGGGCCTGGACAACATGTGTTCCATCTATAGCCTCAAATCCCGTGAGGGCAATGTCAAAGTCAGCCGGGAGCTCTCTGCTCACACAGGTGAGTGGGAAGCCCTCTTCTCCCATCTGGAGGGGTCCAAGGATGTCCAGGCCCCTGACCAGTTGACGCTGCAGTCAGGGCATTGTCCTTCAAACCACCTCCAGGTTATCTCTCCTGTTGCCGTTTCCTGGATGACAACAACATTGTGACCAGCTCTGGGGACACCACGTGGTAAGGGCTGAATGCCATGGGTGCGGAGGCTTAGGAAGTCATCTTGTCCTGAGCAACTGTGTGACCTTTGTCTGGGATGGTCTTCTTCCCTCCTCATAGTGCCTTGTGGGACATTGAGACAGGGCAGCAGAAGACCGTGTTTATTGGACACACTGGTGACTGCATGAGCCTGGCTGTGTCTCCAGACTACAAACTCTTTATTTCTGGGGCTTGTGATGCCAGCGCCAAGCTCTGGGATGTGCGGGAGGGGACCTGCCGTCAGACTTTTACTGGCCATGAATCAGACATCAACGCTATCTGTGTGAGTGTCCCTCTATGTGCCCCTTCCAGGGACCACCTCAACCTTAACACACATTCCTCACCCACTCCCACAGAGCTTCTAAGCCCTCTCTATGACTTTTCTTTTTGAAACAATTTCACCTTACAGGACAGTTTCAAAACGAATGAAATCCATGTACAATTCACCCAGATTAACATTTTGCCACATTTATTTTATCATTGTCTCTAGAGATATACACATACCACAAACACACTTAGATTCCCCCTCCACTGTGTGTGTGTGTGTGTGTGTGTGTGTAGGGCTTTTTGCATGCTAGTCAAATGCTATACTGCAATGCTAACTCTAGGTCCCCTTTCCTGGGTCCTTTGAGAGTAGATTAAAACTATCATGCCCCTGTACCCCTTAAATACTTCCTAAAAACAAAGACTTTCTCTAACATAGACACAACTAAAAAAAAAAAAATTGCCAGGCATGGTGGTGCACACCCTTAATCCTAGCACTCAGGACGTGAAGGCAGGGGGATCTCTGTGAGATCAAGACCAGCCTGGTCATATGCTGAGCTCCAGGCCAGTTGGGGTTACAGGGAGACTCTGTCTCAAAACCTCCTTCCCTCCCCCCCTTTTTTTTTAACTTTATTTATTACTGTGTGTATTGTGTGTATAAGTGTGGATGTGAGCATGCCACAGCATGCAACTTTTGGGAGTCAATTCTCTCCTTCCACTGTGGGTTTCGCAGATCAAACTCAGGTCATTAACCTTACGCATCAAAAGCTTTTACCCACTGAGCCACCTGGTCACCCCCCCAAATTTAAAATTAACTGCTACTCTATTTTCTATACATTTTATTTTCATTTTTGGAAGACTGAACCCAGGGCTTATCTGATAGACAAGCACCCACTGAGTTGTAAACCCAGTCCTTTTTTGATTTTTTTTAAATGTAGGAGTGTTTTGCCTGTATGTATTTAAGTGTACCCATGCATGCAATGCCCAAGGAGGCCAGAAGATGGTGTTAGACCTCCTGGAACTGGAGTTACAGGTGGTTGTGAGCTGCCCTGTGGGTGCTGGGAACTCAACCCAGGTCTTCTGCAAGACTAACAAGTGCTCTTAACTGCTAAGTCATCTCTCCAGCCCCTGACCATTTTTTTTTTTTTTTTTTTTTTTTGGTCTTTTTGAGACAGGGTCTCCCTGTAGCCCTAGTTGGCCTGGATTTGCTATCGAGACCAGGCTGGCCTTGAACTCACAGAGATCCACCTGCCTCTGCCTCCTGAGTGCTGGGATTAAAGGCGTGCACCATCATACCCGGCTTTTCTTTTTTTTTTTTTTTTTTAAGACAAGGTCTCACTATGTAGCCCTGTCTGGCCTAGAACTTGCTATGTAGACCAGGCTGGCCTTGAAGACAGAAAGGTCCACCTTCCTCTGCTCCCCATGGACTGGGATTAAAGGAATATACCAGCATCTTTCTTTTAACTTTTTTTTTTCTTTTAAAGACAGGGTCTACCTATAGTACCAGCTAGCCTGGAACTAGCTGTGTAGACCAGTCTGGCCTTGATCTCACAGAGATCTGCCTGCCTCTGCCTCCTGGGACTAAAGGCGTGCACCACCATACCCAGCTCTACAGTATAATCCTTTTTTTTTAAGTTTATTTTTATTTTATGTGTATGAGTATATGGTCTGCATATATATAATGCACCTGTGCCATGCAATGCTGCAGAAGCCAGAAGAGGGCATCAGACCCCCTGGAACTAGAGTTAAGGACAGTTGTTAGCCACCATGTGGATGTTGGAAATCGAACCCAAGTCCTCTGGAAGAACAGCTAGTGCTCTTAACCACTAAGCACTGAGCCATCATCTCTCCAGCCCCTACAGTATAATTCTTAAAACCATGAAATACATTGACAATTACTAGTCAGTATTCAAATTTAACCAGTTATCTCACAAATGTCCTTAATGGCAGTGAGTTTTTCTGTCCAGGATGCAATCCAGAAAACTATATTTACTTGCCGTGTCTTTTTTTTTTTTTTGTCTTTTTGAGACAGGGTCTCCCTGTAGCCCCAGCTGGTCTGTTGTAGAGCAGGCTGGCCTTGAACTCACAGAGATCCACTTGCCTCTGCCTCCCAAGTGCTGGGATTAAAGGCGTGTGCCACCACACCCAGCTTTGCCATGTCTTTTGTGTCTGAACTGGAACCATTTTTCTACTTTTCTCTGGCCCATGCAGTTTTGATGAGGGCACACATTTTCTATAATTTCCCTCGGACAGTATATCTGACATTCTTCATGATGAGCTTCAGGTTATGTACTTGGAGCCAGTCCTGTTCTTCCACACTCTGACCCAGCCCACTGGGGTTGTAGGACCCTTCTAGCTGTGTGACCCTGAGAGAGCCTTGTTGCCTGTCTGCAGTGCTAGAGTGGGGTACGGCAGAGGGAGCCACAATAGTGAACAGCCATGCTGTGACAGGCTGCTTCCCCTGCCAAGAATCAGAGGCCAGGGAAGCTGAGAGATGTACCTTACCATGCCTCAGGAGGGAGCCAGGCAGGAAGGCAGGGCTGCTCCAGGTCTAAGCCCTGACCTTTTCCTACCTGTATCCTCAGTTCTTCCCCAATGGAGAGGCCATCTGCACTGGCTCAGATGATGCCTCCTGTCGCCTGTTTGACCTGAGGGCAGACCAGGAACTGACTGCCTATTCCCATGAGAGCGTCATCTGTGGCATCACATCAGTAGCCTTCTCGCTGAGTGGTCGCCTGCTCTTTGCAGGCTATGATGACTTCAACTGCAATATCTGGGACTCCATGAAGTGCGAGCGTGTGGGTAAGGGTCTGCCCCTGCCTCCCCACCTTCCCCTGTTATGTTCATTCTAGCTCCCTTTATGGAGCTACTACTGTTCCCTCACTGCAAACTCCAGCCCTGGACACCAGCAGCCTTTGCTTCTGCAACTAGGACCATGTTCCCCAAATAAAAGATGCTCTAAGCAGCCCTTCTCCCTTGCCCAATGCCATGTCTGCTGTCTCTGTCTCTGGTATCCCCAGACCTGTGTACCTCAAGTGTCCAGTCCTCTGGGTTTCATGCACTAAAGGAACCAACCTAGGGAACTGCAGATGAGAGAAATTAGGATATGGAGCCCTAGATAGCCTGGGTTTATCTAGGACCAGCCTGGCTTCTTTTTTTTTTGAATATTTTATTTATTATTTTTATTTTGTGTATGAGTGTATTGCCTGCATGCGAGTGCACCTGTGTCATGCAATGCTGCAGTGGTCAGAAGAGGGCTTCGGATTCCCCTGGAGTTGAGGTTGGTTTGTAGATGCCATTGTGGGTGCTGGGAATCGAACCTGGGTCCTCTGTAAGAGCAGTCAGTGCTCTTAACCGCTGAGCCATCTCTCTAGCCCTATAGCCTGGCTTCTTTTATTGGGTGAGACCAGGAGGTGAATGAAAACAACACACTCCCCACAATCAGGTTCCAAATCCTATTTAGTTGGTTACTTTTTGAGTTTACCTATATACATCACACCCCTGCACTTTGCTTTCTTTACCTAGAAACAAAGGACCCTTTCCCTCTGCCCATTGAAGTGACCCTGGCCTTCCTCATAGCACACTGACAGTTCCAACCTGTCTACCCCAGTCCTACCAGTGACCCAAGTTCTGGACAGAGGAATTGGCCTAAAGAGAAATCTCTTTCCTTAGGTCTAATCCTCTTTCAGTCCCTCGATCTCCATCAGGGGCAGTGTATAGGCTATCCATGCTAAAGCAGGCTGACTTCTTTCCCTCTTCCTCAGGCATCCTCTCAGGCCACGACAACAGAGTCAGCTGCCTGGGGGTCACAGCAGATGGGATGGCTGTGGCTACTGGCTCCTGGGACAGCTTCCTCAAGATCTGGAACTGAGGAGGCTGGAGGAAGAGAGGCGGAAAGCCATGAAGACTCTCACCTACTCCCTCCCATGCCCCCATCTCATTAGGGTCTGTCTTCTACATTGCAAGGGCCATTCCCAGTAAGCTTCCTCAGAGAGCTTCTCCCTTTGAGAGCAGTGAGGACTATGGGAATGTGACTTTGGAAGCATCGGGGACACAAGGGCAAAGAAATGCCCCGTTTCTGCCCATGACCTCCCCTTTCCATAGTCCTTAGTCTCTCCCTTAATAAGCAAGAACAGACCCTTCCCCAGTCCTAGGAGTCAATCCCTGGGATAAAGTAGTCTTTGCCTACACACTAGGCTCCTGGCCCCTTTTCCTTCCTGCTTTCTCCTTTTCTTCCCTTTTCTTTTGCCTAATGCACCTAATAAAGTGTAGCATCCTATTACCTCTGTGATGTCTGACTTCCACTCATGTAATCCAAAAAGACCTAGGTCCCATTAAAGAGCAACAAGGTGTTATGAGTGCTAAAATAAAGGCTGAGTACTGGGTGGACTGTGGGCAGGAAAAGGGGTGAAGACAAAAGCCGAGGTCCCGTGGAAATACCGGGGGTGTACAACAGCTCACTAGTCTGCCACCATAATATATGCATGCTTGCACAGGAGTTGGATTATAAAGGCCTTGGAGGTCTTTATAAAGTCTGGCTACAAAATCCAGACTTTATTCTAAGGGCATGGGAAGCCACTAAAGAGCTTCGAGTCCGGTAGTACCATGATCAATTACGCTTGTTGGGAAAGTTCCTCTAACAACAGTGTAAGCTGGTGAAATGGAAGGAGAGAATGGCACTCTAGAGACAAGGGATAGACAGGTAGTAAGCAATGCAAGGATGACAGGACAGGAGCTGAGTGTGTAGCTCAGTAACACAGCACTTGCCCAACATGAACAAGGCTCTGGGTTCAATCTGCAGACACACACAGCACACACTGACAGAGACAGACAGACACACATGGTATCAGGACAGGAGAGGGACTGGGAGAGAGTAAAGACATAGACTCACTAGGATCTAGTGACCAGCCTTTAAGATAGGACATACTTGGATGAATTCAATATGACCAAGGCCAAGGTTTAGGTTTGCGCAGATAGGTAGATGATAATGTTATTCACAAGGATAAGGAATGGGCCATGAAGAATGGCTTTTAGGGAAAGATCATAGATTCAATTTTAGAAGAACTGGCATTGAAGTGCTTTCAGGGCAGCTGAATGAAAGTCTAGGTCGGAGAAGGACCTGGAAATTACCAGAAGTAGGGATGTGATAGTTAAAGCCCTAGAAGTAAACACTCAGGGAAGAGCAGGGTCAAGGACAGAGCCTTGGAGAACATCACGATGTAAGGTGTATAACAAGGCTCAGATGTGTCACTTGGGAGACACCCAGGAATCATAAGCCCCAGGCTGCCACTCTGCACACAGAAGACCCAGTATAAGCTTTCTTCTAACTTTTTAAAGCATCATTTAAAATCACTTCCTTTAATATACAAAAAACACACAAGATACAAAGAAAAACCAGTAAGATCCAAGTGCCAAAGTTAATAGCCTAATCAAAACAAAACAAGCCTTTCCCTCAGCACCCTTGAAAACAAGAGGGGAAGGACACAGACTGTCACTGGGCTCTGGGTGAATCCAGCGTGTACCTAGTTCTCCACCAAAGCAAAATGCTGATTTTCCTTGTCGTGGTCCTGGCTCTGTTCACACATTCCTCCTCCAGTTTTCAAAAATCTTCCAGTTCCAAGATGGCCTCCTTCTTTTAGTTCCCTAATATTTTCACTTAGGGGTGAAGGCCGTTTCCCCTACAAAAGGTAGTATATGAATTGAGGGGCTAGAGGGCTGTTGTTAGGGAGAGGGAAGACGGTCAAGGGACCTCCCACCTTCAATAATGGATCCGCTCAGTAAACCTTTTCACCTTCTCTCCCTTTACCTGTCGTAGTGTTACGGTCCCAGGAGAGTTGTCGTCCTGCAGGATGGTGAGAGGGGATCTTCCTAGTACCTTACTCTTTGCTTTCCGTCTATTGCGCTTAGAACCTAGGGTAGGGAAGGTGTTAAAGCAAGGACTCACAACTGGGGGCTTGTGCTTTATTTTTCTTACACTTATCCATGGACATTCTCCCAGGATATGATTCTAGCCTCTCTTCCCTCCATCTTACACTTCAATTTTGTACCTGAAGGTTGGGGAGTCTCAGGGTCTCTTGAGGGCTTGTCTGAGTTCTGGCTGGCCACGAGGGTTTCTGTGGACTGTTTTGCTTCCTCTTTAGTAAACACCTGTTTGGAGGGGAGCTCAGTCTGGTTTGAAGGGAGCAACTTGTCCTTGAGAGACAGCTGAGAACCCAGAGGTGAGTCCAGTTCAGCAGATAAAGGGGCTTTCTGGGGCAAAACAAGCTCTGCGGGAAAAATTGATTTGGAGGCTTCGTTCTCAAACACTTCAACCAGCTCCTTCATCAGTGGACTCTGGGGGTCTAGAGCAAAGAAGGGAAATGAGCTGTGACATTTTGGTATAAACCATCCAGCAAGGAGGACAAGATAAAGGAGCCTTAGGACTCATGTTCAGATGAGTTGGGGGATGGGAAGAGTGAGGTCAAGATGGGAGGGAACAATATGTTATAAAGAGGGAGATGGGGGCTTGGTGGTGTGGCTCGGTGCTGGAATGTGAGAAAACAAGCAAGAGGCCTGGGTGTGTGACCCAAACAAAAGAGCAACAAAAACCAAAAACTAAACAAACAAAATATCCAGAAGTTGGGCAATGTTTTTCACACCTGTAATCCTATCACTCAGAGTGCTAAAACAGGAGAATCGCCTCAGGTTCAAGTCCAGCTTGGGCTGCACAGTGAGACTGGAGAGATGGCTCAGTGATTACAAGCACTGGTTGCTCCTACAGAAGACCTGGGTTCAGTTCCCAGCACCACAAGGCCAACAGCCATCTGTAACTCCAGTTCCAGGGGATCTGACACCCTCTTCTGATCTCCAAAACACTGAACAACATGGATGCACTTATATACATGCAGACATTTATACACAGAAAATAAAAACAATAAAGTGTTAAAAACAAACAAATCGGGTGTAGGAGCCTTTAATTCCAGCACTCGGGAGGCAGAGGCAAGTGGATCTCTGAGTTCAAGGCCAGCAAGTCTACATAGCAAGTTCCAGGCAAGCTGGAGCTACAGGGAGACCCTGTCTCAAAAAGACCAAAAAAACAACAAACAAAACAAAACAAAACAAAACTCAGGCTGGCCAACAACATGGTTCAAGGGGTAAAAGCGCTTCCTGCCAAGCCTGATGACCTGAGTTTATCCCCAGAACCCACATGGCAGAAGGAGCAAACTCCTGAAAGCTGTCCTCTGACCTTCACACATACACATACAAAATAGTTTTTTTTTTTTTTTGAGGGCCTTTTTGAGACAGGGTCTGCCTGTAGCCCGAGTTGCCCTGGAACTCACTATGTAGACCAGGCTGGCCTTGAACTCACAGAGATCCACCTGCCTCTGCCTCCCAAGTGCTGGGACTACAGGTGTGTGCCACCACGTCCAGCCAAAATAAACATTTAAAAAAATTTTTTTAAACTGAGAGGGGTCCCAAATAGGAGAAAGGAGGCTCTGAGTTCAAATTCCCAGCACACACACACACACACACACACACACACACACACACACACACACACACAGAAACACAAAAAAAAGTTTTGAGAGAGTGGCTTCATTGATGCCACACAAGTAGGTGAGTCTCACCAGCAATCCCTGGGCCCCTCACCTGCACCACTGGTCTTCATGGGTGTCCGGGCGATGCCAAGGGTAGGAGAGCGAGGATCTGAGTCTTGGGCCTGTTTAGGAACCATCAGCTGTTCTGCTGGTAGGCTTGGCTGTGGAGAGCTCTCTACCTGTCGGTACCATAGGCAAGAACAAGTTTGGACCCTAATCTTTCCTCCTCACATCCTAGCAGGAACTGCTAAGGCCCTCAAGTGGCCAGCCCACACCCTACCCCATGCAGATTAAGACAGTAGCAAGTAGGGCTCCAGGGGGTATGAGGACTCGCTCAGACCCAAGTTCGGCAAAGGCGCGCCCATGAATTCAGACAGCTTCTCTGCCTCCCCTTCCCAGCCCAGAGTACCTGAATGGGGGTGCGCTGGATGCCCGCACTAGGTGAACGAGGGTCCGCTACTCGGGCCAGATACTTGTTGTGTGGTAGAGGCCGTGCTGGAGTGACTGGGACGCTCTGAGTAGAGCCCATCTCCACTACGGGTGGGGACGCGGCCCAACTGTGTAGAGGAAGGGATGCCGGTCAGAAGAGACTCAGGTCTCAGCTGAAGGCCAGTACGTCGGACCTCTGACCCCAGAACGACCCTATCTTCCCAGTTTCCAGCCTAGGAACCTCGGGATCGGTAGTCCAGAAACCTCTGCGGGGATAATGACTCGTGGAATTTTCTAACCGCTCATTCCGAGTCCGCTGGATCCTCTAACTTACCCATTCATTTATCCCTATCACTTACCGGGCCCCAGCTCTGCCTAAGGGCACAAACGCGCTCGAGGAACAACTTCCAAAACCAGGAGTTTCAAACTTCCCGCCACGCCCCCTGCTCTGATCCTATTGGCTAAACCTACGCGGACTTTCATACGCCAGTTAGGAGAGACGCACCTCCAGAACAGGAAGCCATTGGTCTGTACTGATGTCCATCAACCAAGACTGGCTAATGAGACCGAGACTTAGGTTGTTTCCCGCCCCCACAAGGGTGACACCTCCCAGAGAGGCGGGCGCTTCTGTTCAGTGCCGCCTGAGACTTTTTGCTTTTGATACACTCATCATCAAACACAAGCGATTTTATTAATCAAAAATAGAATCACGAGTTATCACTACATGCACACATGTGGCTGGAGACAGGATGGTCTGCACGAGGCGAGATGGTAATCCTTATTGGCTGACGGAGTTATCACTCACGTCCTTCTCAAACCCGCCCCTTTTCAAACCAAGACCACAATCGCTCGTCTACTTTCCGATTGGACGAGTCACCGGCAAAGTTTGAGGACTCGAGAGGTTTTAACAACCGTCAGTTTCTGCTCTTGGTGCGAGTCCTTGAATCAGCAGCCGCCACTCCGCGCCCACCCGGCGGCTCTCCATGCGCACGATTGGTCCTTTCGGCCATCAGTTATCCTAGAAGCGGTTTTCATTGGCGTTAGCTGAGAGTAGGACAGAGGGCGGAGCGCTACTACGCAGGCGGAGTCCAACTGCCGCTCTCGCGCGTCTTGCCTTTGACGCATGCGCCTAACGAGTACCCCTCATTGGACGCGAGACCAAGGGTGGGGGGGAACTGGAGCGGTGGGAGCTGCTGTGTGAGGAGGAGCTGCTGCCGGTGTCATGGCGGAGCTGAGTGAGGAGGCGCTGCTGTCAGTGTTACCGACGATCCGAGTCCCCAAGGCTGGAGACCGGGTCCACAAAGACGAGTGCGCCTTCTCCTTCGACACGCCGGTAAGCCCATTCCCCACGCCCGCGCTGATCACGACTTCCTTCCATCGCCCTGGTCATTCGGCCGGGCCTGCAAACCTTGGGCTACCGCCTCCTTGCGATGCACCCTGGGACTTGTAGTCTCCCACGCTCCTCTCCACTTTTGATTTTCATTATCTGAGGCTGTCGTATGACTACCACCCCCAGAAGCTACTGTGCTGGTCTCGCCGGCTCCTGGTCTCGTGAAGCATTATGGGCATTGTAGTTGCCCACGGCCTTCGTTACCGTTCTAAGCTAGGGTTGGAACCCGACCGGCGGACTACATTCCCCAAGCGACTCCCTGAAAAAGCCTGGGAGGTGGCCCTTGCACGTCGCGCAGGGCTCTGCGGGTTTTGTAGTTTGGTGTGGTAGGAGTAGGGGCGACTCCCCACTGTTCTGGAAAGGGGTTGAGGTTAGAAGGGTAGGCACTTCAGGTTCCTAGCCTGGAAGAGGGTTGGGAGGAAGGCCGGATCTGAGAAAGACTAAATTAGATAACCTCCACCCATGGTTAATTTGTCCAGGGGTCGGGGAGGCGGTTCATTGGTAGGGAGTGGGGAAAAAAGCGGGGAGGAAAGCTCCTTTGACGTGAGCTATGGCCGCGGACCCCCTCCCTTTTCCTCCGTCCATCACAGGTTGCCGAGACAACCCCTTTCCAAGTGTTCCTAGAGAGATGGTTTCATTCTTAGGAGGATGCTATGGCCTCTTCCCCATCTCGCTCCCACTCTTGCCTAGTTAGACAAAGCCGCCACCCACACCGTACTTCACGTTTTGCATGCTCCACCTGGTATACCGCTCCTCCTGTAGTTTTGCCGTTGTATGTCACCCTTAACTGGAGACAAGCCGACAGGCCAGAACTGAGAGGGCAGCAGCTTGATTGGGATCCGCCCCCCTCACTACCCCGCCCTTCAAGCCCTGTTGGGCCCTGCCCAAAGTGTTCATCCAGACCAGCTCATAGTCTGAAAACTGCAAGTCAGAATGGAAAGGCTTCATTAATGCAGCCCCAGTGCTGACTGTAGCAGCGTGATGTGAGGCCCACTTCAGGACCATGACTGTGATTTGTGGTCTTCTTGGTTTGCTGGGCTTTGATCTGAGCCCCAGATAATGTGCTGCTTCCCTAAAGTTGGCCTTTGTCAGAAGAAGTAAAGGAGGACTACTGGAGTAGAGCTCTAGGATTTCCAGTCCCTGATGAAACCAGCATCTTGTCTTTCCATCTGAAGAGTTCAGTCACTTTCGAGGTCCTACCTTCCTCCCAGAGGGAAAGGTAGAAAACAGGGAGTCTTTACACTTACAGGGACTTATAGCTACTCTTGCCTCTCCTCAGTAACTACTTTGAAAAATTCAGAAAAGGTTTTTGTAATTTCCCAATAGGTTTTCTCTTTCATTCCAAGTCTCTGGTGTAGCCTAGGTGCTTTGGTAACAAACTCTGGCACATTTCATTATCTTTAAATTCTCTTTATGGGAGAAAGACAGCTTAGCTGACCTCTAGTGAGAAATGCTCAATTTATTCATGAACACTGCAGTCCACACCATTCTAGGGAGTGGTACAGCACAATTGATTGACCAAGAACTGCCTTAGACAGTGCCCTATTTTTTACTATCACAGTGGAGAAATTTTCAAGGCTACTAAGACTTATTCCAGGAAGAGGATGCCTATTGCTGAAGCCTTGGATCTGAGGCAAGACTCTTCTTCTCCAGTTCCCTCTTCCACCTTCTCCATCACTGTTACAAAGGCACAGGCAGACTTGCTCAGCTTTGTGGGAAGCCCATCTTTTCCTCTTTGGCTATGATTCAGGATGGGCACTTATCTTTCCCTATTCTTGGGATCTTTGTATTTGAGCTATCTCAGCAAATGTTGCTAGATTGTTCTTAAAAGGGATTGCTCAGCTGGGTATGGTGGCAACAGCTGAAATCTCAGCCAGCTCTGGGAGGCTGAATCAGAAGGATAAAAACTTTGAGGCCATCCTGGGCTACATAGTGAGTTGCAGGCCAGTCTGGATTATATAAGGAGATCCTCTGTCAAAAGTAAACCAAAAAAAAAAGCAAATTAAAAGGGGTGGGTTTGAGGTTTCAGGTTTGGACTTCAGTGGGGGATCTTACAGAGAGAGGCGATAGGGAGGTGATTAGTGGCTATAAGATTATAGACTTGATCACCTCACTAGACTAGGTTCAGGTTTAGCTGTGAGTCTCAAACAAGGTCTTAATCCTTAGAACCAGGGTTCCACTGTCTAGTAGATTGTGAAGTTCAGGGTTATATATACTGGGCCAAGGAAGAGGTGAAGGGAGGTCTTTGTGATCGATTGGGGGCACCAAAGCCTCCCTGAGAAGGAAGAAGAGAGGAGAATGGTAACTGGGGTGTTGCTCAGCTGCCTCTGGAGTTTGTTGGCTATTTTGGAATTCATAGGAGGATATGGGGAGAGCTTCAACCATATACCAGGTCCTGGAATGGTAAATCAGTTGCTAAGGGCTACAGTCTTGGGAAACAAGCAGTTTCTAACTACTGGTCTTTGATTTCCCCACAGAGCCAAGTTTCACCCTCTTGCTTCTTCCTCCCTTGCCTTGTACCTTGCAGGAATCGGAGGGTGGCCTCTATATTTGCATGAACACATTCCTCGGCTTTGGGAAACAGTATGTGGAAAGACATTTCAACAAGACAGGCCAGCGTGTCTACCTGCATCTCCAGCGGACCCGGCGCCCGGTAGGCACAGGGGGTAGGGTACGGGCTGAGAACATCCAGACACATTCCCCAAGGTGCCATTTTGAATGTGTCTGTTCCCTGACTCCCCTATTGGCCTTGCTTTCTCTCTTTCACCTGTTTCTGCTTGTGTCACTAAAACTTGCTAAGATTTTTATCTTTATTCCACTGTGTGGTTGACCACTTTTTCCCTCTGTCTCCTCATTTATTCTGTCCCTGGGGCTCATGGCTGGTCCTGAACCTCCTTTCATTGCAGAAAGAAGAGGACACCAGTGCAGGCACTGGAGACCCGCCCCGTAAGAAGCCCACCCGGCTGGCAATTGGTGAGCACCTCTGCAGCCATGTTCTTCTCACCAAGCTATGTGCTAGGAAAGCCCTGAGCCTGATTAGTAACCCTAGAGCTCTGGAGGGGCAGAGTGAGGCACTGTATTGGAGGAGGGACATTGACCTATGGTTGTTACCCTACGTTCCTCCTCTTTCTCTGTCCTCCCCAGGTGTTGAAGGTGGGTTTGACCTCACCGAGGAGAAGTTTGAATATGATGAAGACGTGAAGATTGTCATTTTGCCTGATTACCTGGAGATCGCCCGGGATGGGTTGGGGGGACTTCCCGACATTGTCAGAGATCGGGTATGAATATCTTCCCACCCTACCTGGAGATGCTAGGGCAGGAGGGCTACAGTGGCCATGGCTTGGACAGCACTGACAAAGCCAGAGACCAAGGGTGAGAGGGGCATGTGGGGCAGGACCTGGGCACTATCTGACTCTCTGTTTCCTCCAGGTGACCAGTGCAGTGGAGGCTCTACTCTCCGCTGACTCAGCCTCCCGCAAGCAGGAGGTACAGGCTTGGGATGGGGAAGTCCGGCAGGTGTCTAAGCATGCCTTCAACCTCAAGCAGTTGGACAACCCTGCTCGGATCCCTCCCTGGTAAGGCCTGGCTCCTCCATCTCTGGACTTAACTCCCAAAGCAAGGACAGAGAGGTCACCTTTCTAAGGGATCTGCTATGAGAGAGGGTAGGGAGCAAGACAGGGAAGACAACTTGGGGGAAGGTGAATGCAGGGGGATGGCCAGAGAAGAACAGGCTCTTGGCCTGCAGAGCCTCTCTTGCTGCCATTCCCATAGACCCTTGACCTGCAGTTCAGCTAACTTTCTTCTCCCTGGCTTAGTGGCTGGAAGTGCTCCAAGTGTGACATGAGAGAGAACCTGTGGCTCAACCTGACAGATGGCTCCATCCTCTGTGGCCGACGCTACTTTGATGGCAGTGGGGGCAACAACCATGCTGTGGAGCACTACAGGGAGACTGGCTACCCCTTAGCCGTTAAGCTGGGCACCATCACACCCGATGGAGCTGGTACTCCCCCACCCCTCCCCGCCTGATGTGTTCCAGTTGTTACTTC